TTTTTTTTGGTAATGGGGATCAAACTTGGGCCCTTGCATTTGCGGGGCAGGTGGTGGAACCAGACATACACTGAGTAAGAGTCCACGCCAAGGTACAGAAAATGGGCGTGCTGAAGAGTCCACCAGTGTGAGATGAGGAGAGAAAGGTGCAGTTTTAGAAAAATCAACACAGCTACAGAATACAAAGAGAAAGAGAGATCTTTCCATCTTCGTATTCTTTGGCTGAGTTCAAATCCACATGCACACATGACAAAACTTCCTGAGGCCTGGGAAATAACTATCTGAAAGGAACAGGTGAAACAGTCCCTGACCCACACCAGGTGAGGAACAGTTAGTGCTCCCAATACAGAGTGAAAACAATCTTGTAACTCATGGGCCATCAGGTAGAGTATTTGCAAGGGTATGATCTAGAACATTCAAATGGGAAAAAATTAGTCCCAGGCTGAGGCTGCTTTGGTCACTTCTAAAAAAATAAAAATCATAAAAGGGAATCCTCAAGAAAACCCAAATTAGTCACAAGGAACAATATCTAGGACAAAACTCAAAAGTATTTGTAAAAGTGCTATTAATGTCTAGCATACAATAAAATAAAATTCACATGGTCTAGAATCCAGTAAAAATTACCAGACATGCCAACAAACAAGAAGCCATGAGCAATAATGAGTAGAATAATCGATCTCAACTCAGAAATCAAACACGATTGACTCAGTAGACAAACGCTTTGAAACAAATATAACCATACTACCTATTTTCAAGAAGGTAAGTATTCTAAAGAGAGATAAGGAAGACATAATATAGATACACGTCCAAATTATAGAAATGAAAACTCCACTGCATGAGACTAAATGTAAATTAGATTCAACATAGGAAAAGATGAATGAACTCTACGAAAACAGACGGAACAACAGTACAGAAACTGAACTAAATATCAGTGAATTCAAGAAGCACGCTGTCACGTTCTTGGGGCCTGGGAAGGAGAAGAGGGGCAAAACTTAGCCGGAAAAATGTTTAGAAATTGTCAAAATTTGAAGAAGATGTAATAAAGTCATCTCAAAACAATAAAAGGGTAAATTAATCAAAAGGACATACTAATAGTAAACATTTATGTACCTATTAAGAGGGCCCCAAATACATAAAGGAATCACCAATAGAACTTAAAGAAAAATTAAATATCTTCAATTATTCAGTGATTTCAAACCTTATTCTCATTAAAGGGTAGAACCAGCAGACAAGAAATTCATACCTGTGTAGAAAACTCAGCAACACGATCAACTAGTCACCAACTTCACAGAAGTCACCCTTATAGAATATTCCACTGAAAAATGCAGAATTTATTGAAAGCTCATACAACATTCACAAAAACAGATCATATTCTGGGTTACAAAACAAAATTCAATAAAGTTAGAAGAATTCCAGACATACAGGGTGTGTTCACAGGCTAAAATAGAATTAAATTAGAAAGCAATAGAAAGATA